TTTCCTTTCCTTTCCTTTCCCCTTTTTCCTTTTTCCTTTCCTGGCAGGCTTTTAGGGGGTGAGAGAGGACCTGTTGGGTTTCAGATAATATTTAATAGGGAGGTGCCACTTTTTTGCACTGTTTTGCACTTATTTGAAATAACTTCTGATAAAAACAGTGTGGAGCTATTACAATGGTTTAACCTTTTAAATTATACTACTCTTTTTACTATTAAATATTAAATCTCACATTATGCACTAATAATAATATAAGTCCTGTGATAAGGTATGTATTGGGAAATGAAATGAGTATTTCCAGAGGTGTGGTGGGGTAGGAGCAGATAAGTGGATAAATCTAGCTTCTAATCATGTCTGTAAGATGAAGTAAACAAAACATTTTCCTTAACAGTTTATCTCAGAAAAGAAAAAAGTGAAAGTTTATAACCTAGTAATATTACTAAAAGAAATTAGAGTAGCTCATTGTTTATTTCATCTAAACCACTTCCAAACATGATACTAAATATTTAGGGATATATGGATATAGATACAAATATAGATATATAAAACTATGAAAGCATTAAAAGCAACCTACCAGAAATTGAGTTTTTGCTTTCTCTTGGAAAATCAATGCTGTCTTGCTTCTTCACCTCAAATGGGTTAGCTGCTCTCTAATTCTGAAGCCTTAATGTATTGATATATATTAATTATTTGATTGTATAGATACTGTGCTGAACTATGGCTCTCACCTAAAAATGTATTCCTATGTACTGGTAGTATCAGTTTGAGGCTGTAATATATTTGTGTTCTTAGTTAATTGAAAGGCTTTTCATGCCTCAGAGAACCATTTGAACATGAAATGGTTTTTGGAAGTTCAGGCAATACCTTACAAGGAAATCTGTGGGTGCCCTTCAAAACTCTAAATGTATCCCATTAGTGATAAACGTGTGGCTTACTTCAAACAGAAGGTTTTTTTTTAAGTAACTAATACGGAAAACAAAAAAATACACAAAATTATAAAAGAAGGGAGAAAAAAGCTAAAAAAACAAAAACAAAAACATGCAGGGCATATATTTACAGACATATATACATCAATAAATGGAAGCCATGATTTGTTGCAGTCACCCGTAGCTAATCTATAGTAATCATTTTTGCAGCCACTGAATAGTTGGGCATATATGTTTGTCTTTCCAGTGTTGAACAGTAAGTCTTTTGGCTATACGTAAGATACAGAAAATCCATTTTCTTTGTTCAGATGTCAACTCCCTTGTGATAAACTTCAAAAGAATATAAACATCTGAAAATATTAAATCTCAAAGTTGAGTTTATACATGTAATAACTCCTTTCCCAAATGGAACAATATATTTAAATAAAGCATTGATTTCATTGCATCTCCAGCAACATACTGTAAATGCAATGAGGTCATTTATAAAGTATTATTTCTTGTTGAAAGAGGTGTAATTGAAACATCTATTGAAATATTTGGTTTTCTTTTTTAACAACTCTTTTTTTATTAAGTAAAACATGCATAAAAAGAAAGAAAAAAGAAAAAAGGGAAAATGGAAAAGATACATGTCCATACATAAAATATTTTGGAAAAAAAGTTAAAAAAAAAAGAAAAAAAAACCAAAAGGATTTTTAAAAATTATAAAAAGGGCAATCTGGTAACACCTTCTCTTTCTTTCTCATCCTCCTACCACCATTTCCCCCCAGCCACTAATTACTATGTTAATATTTTTGTACCTTACGTTTGACATTATTACTCATTTCTGTTTGGATTATTATTATTAAAACTTTTTGTTTCTTCAAAAACCCTATTCTAAGTGGCTGAGCTTGCCTTGCTGTGAGATATGTTATATATAAGGGAACCATTCCTGTTTGAATTTGGTTAGACTTCTGCTGCGAAGCTACACTTTTCCCATTCCCGCATATTCTCCAATTTTAATCTCCCAATCCTGTGTTGATGCCAAGCTTTCTCTTTTCCAATGCTGTGCCAGACTGATTCTTGCCACTGTCAGCATATATCTTAATAAATTACAATGTCTTTCATTTATATTCTCTGGAATCATACCCAACAACAATATTTGTGGTTTTAATTCAAATTTTATTTTCGGAATTTTCTGAATGTTTGGGTGTAATTTCTTTCCAGTAATTTCAAGGGGGTTTTTTTGTTTGTTTGCATAACCACCACATATGATAAAACATTCCTTCTTTTTTGTGGCATTTCCAACATTTATTGTTGTATGATTTATCTATCTTGGCAATTGTTAACAGAGTTATATACTATCTGTAGCACATTTTGTACCAATTTTCCCTGAGATTATAGCTTGGTGCAAATTTTACTGATTTTTTTCCATAGATTTTCCATAGAGATTCACCAATATATTTGTGTTACATTTGTACACAACAGAAATATTATGAACGATTCTTGAGTCCCTGCTGAGAGATTGTTATGAGATAACAAAATTAAAAGGAAAGTAGCAGTATCACCTTTCTAGGTTTGCCCATCCATAACATTAGCAAACATGTGGACCTTATTTATACATATAGAAACTCATTTTCTAATTCATTTTGATAAAGGAAAGGATTTCTGTGGAGTCCTTGGTGTTCTTTGAGCTTCATTGTTTGCTTGCAGACATTTCATTACCCAACTAGGTAACATCATCAGTGCAAGTGAATGTGGGGTTTGCTCCCTGTTTATATATAGTAGCTTGCCTTGCCAATGTTGGGTGTGTGTGCGTGTGGTTTTCTCCTTGGTAGTTCCTTGATTAGGGCATTGTTTTCTGCTTGATTATTTGTCTAGTGTTAATCCCTACTTATCTGGGTGTTGGCTGCTGGAGAGGATGTGCTCTGGTCTTTTTGTTTCCTTCTTAGCTTTTTTATTGTCTCTTTTGAATGTTGTGTAAATATGGTTGAAACGCTAGGCAATTCCTGGAAGCTTGGCATTCAGAACTTATCTGGGTGTTGGCTGCTGGAGAGGATGTGCTCTGGTCTTTTTGTTTCCTTCTTAGCTTTTTTATTGTCTCTTTTGAATGTTGTGTAAATATGGTTGATCTCTATGCATCTATTGATGGCTGACTTGTCTGAATGCCAAGCTTCCAGGAATTGCCTAGCGTTTTTGGATTTAGCTTGGTCTAGGATGTTCACAGTTTTCCAGTTGAAACATGGTTGAGTTTGTCCATGTGTTGTGAGATTAGGAGTTTTCATCATGTTTTCTGACTACTAGTTGGTGTTCATGCTAGTCTTCTGCCTGTCTTTCCTACATAGTGGCTGTTACACGGTATGTTGTAGATGACTCCTGTTTTTTCTTCATAGGCTGCTGGGTCTTTTGGTTTACTTTAGAAACTTAAAAAAAGGGGGGCAAAGCCCACACTCACTAGCACCAATGATGTTACCTAGTTGGGTAATGAAACATCTGCAAGCAAACAACCAAGCTCAGAGAGCACCAAGGGCTGCACAGTTCAACCTTGAGCTACATATATTCTCTTCCATTGGAAGGATTTCTTTGTTTGTTTCACTTCACTGTGTTGGATACATCATCTATGGCCACCAAATTGTTTCATACATGGTACAGAATAGAGGAGGGAATATCTGGTATCTTACTTTCCATCTCTGTTCTGCTGCTGTTATGTACCTAAAACAATTAAGGCTGGAAGACCCAAAGGCATAAACCATTTCAAGCATAAGCCCTTCAGTGATTTCATCAAGTCATTCCCTTGGAAGCCAAGATATTGCCATTCTGTCTTAAGACTTGTATTTAACTACAAAAAAAACCTTCTTTTTAAAAAATCAAGATGTTTAAATGCTGTATTTACCAAAAGGAAGCTAGTAGTTTTCCAGAATAATTTTAACTTTAATAATAATTTCAACTTTATAATGAGAAGGTCATCTTAGATTTGCCAAGGATATAATCATGAAGGCAGGGCTTTATTTATTTATTTATTTATTTATTTAAACTTTTGACTGCTGTTTCCCATTTAAAATCTTGAACTGCTTTACAACAGTTTACAATTGTAATTAAATAAACAAACTGAAGATTAAAACAAGTATAAAAGCATCCATTAAAATCATCATGGAGAGACAAAGTGGCAATAAAAATTTAAAATATTACAAGTATATTCATTTTTTTCTTGTAATTTTACTGAGTTTTGAAAATGATAGCAATTGAAAACAAAAGGTATTGATACCTTTCTAAATGGTTTGAAAAAAGCTATATATATAAAAAGGGCTATACAGCCAACTCAAAAGAATTTTTTTTAAAAAATATAATAATTTAATAAAATGTCTCTAGTTTTACTAAAGTACAAATGTAGTGACATCATATTTATACAAATCGCTGTAATTTGATTTTTAAACAATGAGCATACAACATCGTATTGTCTGGTCTTGCTTTTCCTAGGATAAAGAAGCAATCCAAAGGCTGAGGGCACTTTTTTCCAGCCAACCTTTATCACAGCGGTATTCATAGAACTGGGAGAATTAAGCAAACAAACGAATAAAAAAAAGGATTTAGTGCCAAAAAACCCAAGAAACACATTGCCAGCCACACATCACTGGAGAAAACATCCCAAAACCAGGGGGTACCAATAAAAAGACCCTTTCCAGGGAGGAGGAGGGCATCCAGAGCAAGTCCTTTGAAGACAATGGTAGAGTATGGGTAGGAACATACAGGAAGAGGCATTCATTTAGTTACTGTGGTTCCAAGCTATGAGGGGCTTCACAAGTTAATATTACCATATTCAACTGGAGTAGAAAAGAACTTGTAGCCAATGAAGATCATAAGGAATGGGTGAGATGTGTTTTATTTTAGCTTCCATTCACAGCAAATGTGCTGCCAGCTGCCTACCCCCACACCCCAGAAAAGCATCAAGTTGGGATTAAGAGTAAAAGGAATGTAAAGTATGATTGTCCAGTACTGCTGGATCCAGCAAAGTGTTCTTGAGGAGGGGATGGACCACCACCTCTTTAAAACTGGTGGTATTACTCCCTCCTTCAAGGAAGCATGTCTTTTCCTGGAAGACTTTATCCAACCAGGTAAGCATGGATCTAATATACACTGGGCTGCATTCACAGCACTGAAGACCCTGTCCACTTCCTTGGGTCCAACAGGTTCAAACTCTTCCCACGTAACTAGGCTAGACATTGCCCCAGTCATCTCCAAGGGACTTGGATAGCTGAAGTCTTTGTTGTTGTTGTTCAGTCGTTAAGTCATGTCCGACTCTTCGTGACCCCATGAACCAT